ACAATAATAAAATAAAATAACTAATTGAATACATTTATAAAGGTAAATTATTTATTCTGAAGTGTTGCTTATTTTCGAGTGTTGCTTATTTTCGGAACTTATGTAAAACAGGTGTTGCTTATTTTGGAAGAATACGGTAATTCGAGTAGGAATAGCCGAAAGGTTCCGCTTGAAAAGAGTTAAATCTCAAGGTCAGTATACCGCTGCTCTCCCAGGTATATTGGCTCAACAGATTTTATTTTTTTTTAAGAAGCTTAAGGAAAACTGTTGCTTTTCAAATGCCTAAAACTTTAGTTGATTAAGAATTTTAAATCATAACTTTTATTCTACTTTGTCTGCTCTTACTCTGTCATTCTTACGGATTAGTTTTTCTCTAAACCCTCTAATATATAATATAAAAGCCTCAGAATTTTAGTTGGGTATTTTATAGGTGTCTTGCACCATAGTAAAACATATGAAACCTCCTTTTTTTCGAAAATCTCTCTTGTCTGCAAACACTATTACTATGTAAGCGATACTAAACTTTATATGTTTTTAAAATTAATCTCACATGTAACAGGCATTTGGTTAGAATATAAAAGTATTTTTTAAGATGAACAGCATATAATTATCATTTTATACACTTTACTTTATTATAATAATGTGTTAAATTTTACTTGTTATTTTTTTCAAACAGCCCAGTCAATTAGTTTCAAACTATATAAAATTATTGCCAGTGTCATGGGTAGCTCCCGTTTGAGATTTTGTTTTATTATTATAGAATCTTTATTGAAAACTATGGAAACTACTAAGGCTGCTTTTATTTTAGACAGCTAATACAATAATGTGACTACTGAATCAACAAAGAAACTTGGCTTAGTGCCTGGTTAAGTAATGTAGATGGAAGGGGGAGGTAAGGATATTTATTTCATTATTAATTATATTTATATTAGATAGAGTATTTTAATTTATTGTTATAAAGAACAATGACTGAATAAGATACAATCGACAACTCCCTAAATGCACACACACGTGATATTAATTGCAAATTTAGTAAGCAACATCAATATTGTCATACATCGAGTAAATTATAATTGGTAGGATTTTAACATCAGCACCATTACCCAATATTAATATGTTAACATGATTATTTTGTTTTATAGGTTTTACACGCAACAAGAAAATACGAAAGATCAATTGAAGTGTGCAAATATTTTAGAAAGGTATATTAGAGAAAAAAAGGTTAGTTCAATGTAACAGTCAAACTTAGACCAATATTTCAAATAAATTATAATACGCCGAAAATTTTATCATGTAAATGTGTTACTACTCCATAAGTGCACCAGCTTGCATTGCATTTAGGGAGTGTCAACTGTATTGTTAAAGTAAAAGGATATGAATATGTCAGTGGGAATAGATACTTGTGCCATTTTTTGTTAGTTTAAGTAATTAATTATAGATTTTAATTGCATCTCTAATTGTTGTCTTTAACTTGCCTGTTCTATAACTTGTATATTGCTAAGCCAGATTCGTAAGTTTGTGCGTTCATCTGCCAATTGGCGGAAAGGCTCCTATGTCGCACTTTATTTCAACAAATGCTATCGTCTGCCAAGTGGCGGGCCGAGCTCTAAGATGGTCTTCATCAGGGCAGCGTATTCGGAGCCATGTTTCTTTTCCATATTTGCTGTAATAGTTTGGGTTATTCTAACGTCATCTTTAAGACGAGGAACTAACAAGCGCATCAAGGCATCCTGGTTCAAGGAATAAACGACGCGTTCTGGGACCAGAAGTCCAGTGAACAGAAGATTGTGATAGTCGTAAATGTATAATTTTAAAATTTCCCCCTTTTTTTGTCACATCTTTGCTATAGATAATAGAGGCTTGTCTAGTCTTACATCCAAAATGTTTGTAAATAATATCAATATTCTTTAATATTAATGAGTCATGTTAATTCCTTTAACAAATTTTACGAAGCCATAGGATAATATAAGCGAAATAGTACAATTATATTATTCCACTTATTATTATGGGTTAATCACACTTTATAGCTTCACATGGTAGTAGTATAACAGCGGCTGACAAAATAAGCTAACGTTTTTGATCTTATGACACTTAGTATGACTTAAGGTAACCTAACACTAACACTAACTTGGGATTACACAGTCAGTCTCGATAAGTCGGTCTCTCGATAAGTCGGTTTTGGCTTAAGTCGGCCAAAATCTTTTCTACGTTCTTTTCACTATTTAAAAATTCTCGATAA